TACTTATCTGCTTTCTTGAATCTAGGAAAGTCACATTTTCTGAACCCTGTTTCTTTACCAGTGAAGAGTCCTTCACTCAGAATGTGGCCAGTAGTTCTGCTAAGGCCTTTGTTGATGCTAATTTTATCCTCACAACAAAAGCTTCAAGTAGGTAGAACTAACTTACTTGACCAAGGCAGGTAAAGTAGACTTTAGGATTTGAACCCTGTTTTGTCTGACCACAGTACTACTTGCTTCCTTCTCTTTCAACTTTCCTCAAGTTGAGGATGTGTAGATGCCCGGGGATGTGCCAATGGGCTGCCAGGGAGAAACTCTGCAGCAAATTCCCCATTGTCACTGCAGCATCAGGACAGGTCTGCACGCAAACACTGGCCCTGAATTCAGGCAGTGTGAGTTTAGAGAGGGAGCATCCAGATGATCCCAAGTCTTCTCAGGAGATTTATTTACTATCAAAGTAAACATCTGAAAATTAAAAATATGTCACTCATTGAGACTTGGGAATATCCAAGCCCAGGCAGGACGTCTGTAGGCCATTCTGCATATCAGATGCTGCCCTCTAGCTGCCCCCTGCCAAGGGAAGCTCAGACTAGTTCCTTCTTTGTGTGTGTCACCCACCTCAGCTGGCGAGAGAGCCCACCCAGAGGGCATAACCAGAAAACCTGCCTTTCTGCTCACTCCCACCTCTACAGAACCCAACTGCCTTCCAGCTGCCCCCTGGATAAGAGAACCTCTGCTCACAGTGTCCGTGTCAGCTCCACATCTGTGCTGTAGATGTCTTTACAGCTGACTTGTTGGTACAGGAGAAGCAGCTCAGGAGGATGTGTGCAGAGCTGCTGGAGAGGGTGAGAAGCACTGCTGCAGCTGCTTGCATTCTGTGGCAGCATGTCTTCTTAGTGTGGTCACAAGGATGGCTTTGCCTTCTCAACCGGAACGCTCTCTTCTTATGAGCTCACTGTAGGAAAAGACGAAGGTGTCCTTAGTTGCCAGTGAAAGCAGCCTACTAGCTATCAAAAGGGGAAAAGCTGTGGAGCATGAGAGTTCAGGTTCAGAGTATGGGCCTTGTGCACACCATAACCTTGGATAAAGTGCTCAGCTGCCCGAGCCTCCAGTTTCCTCATCCATGAAGCAGATCCATGTAGAGTGACTGCCACTTAACATTGTGAAAAGTAAGTGAAGTAACATTTGTAATTATTAAAAATGGTACCAGTAACATATCTTAATTCTTCAATAAACTTAGTTGTGTATCATTTCTCATTATTATTATTCTTTTATTCTTATTCAAGTTTTTCCTGGACAAGCATCTACCTCAGGCATATTCCTACTCCTCCTATACAGAGTACAGCCTAACTTTCCAGGGGTGTTTGGTTTTAAGCACCTCCCCACCAAGATCCATACAGAAGTCACTACGCTCTGCTGCTTGGGGGCAAAACCAGTGGAGGGTGTCTGACCCGGGTCCTGGCCAGGCCTCACCACTTAATTCACCATGATACTCATGATCCTTGACTTCCCTGAGCCTCTTACTTTTATCCTCTGTGTGGTTTGGTCTTTGCAGCTTCCTGACCTGTGCTGCAGAACAACTGTGATTATAAAAGGAGTCTGGAGATGGAAAATCAATTGATGCTGCTTTAGTCTGCATACTTGCAAAGAGGACTTGTGATTCAGTGAGGGCCTTCCATATCTTGAGGTCTTTTAGGTTTTACATGTAAGAAAAATAAAGGAAGAAAATGTTTCTCAATAGTCAAAAGTTGTGCATTTATCATTATTGCTGTCACTGTTACATACTTTTAACCAAATGACGTATTGAGGGCAAGAGGTAAATAGGATAATTTTAGCTTCACCACACTTTGAGCTTTGACTGTATGTCAGACCCTGTGCTAATGTTTCCCTACATTGCTATTTAATCCATACAAGAATACAATAAGGTAGCTATTGCTACCTTCTGATACAGAGGAAGGAGAAGAATAGAGAAGTGAAGTAGTTTGCCAAATATCACAAAGCTGGTAGCTGGTGGATCTTGGGGTGGGAGCTAGGTCTGTTGGATTCCAGTCATAGTCTAGGTCACCATGCAAAATGATACAACCCTCTAGCTGGTGAGACTAGGTAAGGAAACCCACAGAAGCTCAAAAGCTATGTCTTCTGGTGGAATTAAGTACCCCACCACTACTGAGGATTGTATTTCTCATCATCTTTACAGCTACCTTCTGGGGCAAGGCACTGTCTTCTCTCTTCTGAGTTATTGCTGTAAATTCCTAATTGATCTCACTGTCTCACTTCTGTTTTACCTAGTCATGTGCCATGTAATGTTTTTCAGTTAACAATGAGCCACATATATGCTGGTGGTGACCTCAAGAGATTATAATAGAGTGGAAAATTTTCCATTACCAAGCAATGTGCTGAGCATTGTGTTACAGCTGCCTGCATAATTCAGTACATGCGTTATGTAGTACATGCTAGGAACGATCTTTATATCATAGAGCCTGGTGTGTAGTAGGCGATACCATCAGTTTGCGTAGGTACATTCTGATGTTCACAAAATGATGACATCACCGATGACGCATGTCTCAGAATGTGTCTCTACATTAAGGAATGGATAACTTTGCTTTCAATAGAGCCAGAGGCAGTCTGCTGGAAGGTCATTTGGACCATTGCTCTAATCAGATTCCTTATATATAGTAAAAGCCATAGCCTTATGGGGATCATCAAGGCTACTTCACCCCTACTCTGGCCCTGGCTACCTTGTAGACCTTAACTCCTTGCACTCCTCCTTCAGCCTCTCTCATCCTTGTGTTCCTTCAAAAATACCAGGTGGGACCTAGCCTCAGGACCTTTGCACTTGCCACCCCCTTACCTGGAAATTCTTTTTCTTAGATATATGCATGTCCCTTCCTCACTATATATCATGGGGTTCTGCTCAGAGATAGAATTTACACAAGTTAGTTAAACAATAGTTTAATATAAAAGGTGGCAACTAAGCATGTAGTTGTTAACTACTGAAAGAGCAATTTAAAATGCTCTAAGGTATTATGGAGGTAGCAGTAGCAAAAAGCAACTACTTTTTCTGGGGCTCCAGTAAAGGGAGTAATCAACAACTTAGAAACTAGAGTCAACACTCCACTGGGCAGGATCTTAGACCTCGAGGGCTGCCATTGGGCTGGTCATGTGAGAACTGGACAGACTGCTCAGGGGCAGCTGCTGATGCAGGAAGCCTCTCCTCTGCTGTCACAGAGGTGCTCACAGCAGCCTTGGCAGCAAGGAAGCTCTGGGAGTGGGGTGGGGAGCCTTTTCTTTCCAGCTTCCAGTCTCTGGCCAACATCCTCTATTCAAAGGGCTTGACAAGGAACATCAGTCAACAAAGAGGACACTGGGTTTGCAGAATGACAAAACCCAGCACAGAGGGTGGTTCTGGAGTGAGTCTGACTCAGGGGCTGCTGTACTAACTTCCTGAAGGTCTTGCTTATGTCTCTGGTAAGATTCCTGACTACCCCAGATACGAGCACATGGTCTGACCCTTGCTCTCCCCTTTCCTTGTTTTCCTTCTTCCAACATTCATTTCGCTGGCTAGCAGTAGCAGAGGCTTTGCTTCTCTAGGTCCCCCTTGGCTCTCCTCTATCTTAGCAGCAGACACAATGGACAGTTTTGTGAGAGCTCAGACTCATTTTGGTCACCGTGTCTTTATTCCTCGGGTAACACCTGCTTCTTGCCAGTTAAGAAAACTACTTATTCATGATTAGGGTTTCTTGATCTCAGCATTGTTGATATTTGGGGCCCTATTTTTTGTGGGAGACTATGCTGTGTATTGTGCAATGTTTAGCCGCATCTCTGGTCTCTACCCCCTGAAGCCAGCAACGCTGCTCTGTCAGTGACAACCAGAATTGTCCCTTGGAGGACAAGATGCTCCTTGTTGAGAACCACTGTTCTGGTCTTATACATGAGCCATAGCTTCGTGAGAACCAGTTAAGTACCTGGCTTTGGCATCAGATGGACAGGGTCTGATGGATGCATATTCGCGGTCACCAATGTCCCCTTGGGCAAGTTACTAACCCTGACCATGCATCAGTTTTTCCAACTGTAAAATGAAAATAATGCTATCTCATAGGGCTATGGTCAGCATTAAATCCATAGATTAGTACAAACCAACTGATCAATACAAATCAGTAATAAGTTGTAATTGAAAGCAAAGCTTCAGGGTGAGTCATGAGAGGCCACTGATACATTGTTTTGTCAACATGTGATGCCAAATAACTGAGTGGTGAATTTTGCTTGTCTCTGATTGGGCTTGACACTAGCCTCAGAAGAGTGAGTGGTGATCACGCCCTGAAATATTACAGAAATTTCATACAAATGACCTCCCAATCCTGACATATGGGTGACTGATGATGGGACACGCCTGCAAGGGATAGGGATTTAGAGAGAATTAACATACTGAGTGCAGCTGTGTGGCACTGCAAAAAAGAAAAAAGAAAAGAAAAAAGAAACACTTGTCAAGTAGTCAATTTCACTGTGATGCATAGAATCATTGCTTGATTCACCTAAGTGATTTACTGTTACAAATAGCACCACACAGAATCAAAGTAATAAATACAGTTACATTGTATTTTGGATTCTAAATGTTGTTTTCATCTCATACAGCACTTTCATGTTGCTGAATGCCAGTGCTGCTAGAGGGGCCTTGGCTTATCCAGGTATAACGTGCGGTGGATGGAGCATAGATTCGCTCTATGAGTAGCACAGAGCCCAGGCTTGGCTGGGAAGAAACAAATCTAAGGCCTTGTCCCAGTTCTGTCACTCAATCTCTGTGTAACCCTAAGCCTGTTATCTTTAGGACTCAGTTTCCTCACCTTTAACATATGCAATCCAGGTGAGTTCTTTGGTCTTCCCACTCTGTGAAATCTGAGGATCCCACTTCCACCTCACCACACCCTCAGAAGGAAGTTCAAAGTAAAGGGAGTGGTCTCCTTGGTGCCTGCAGAATTTTCATGCCTTCTTTCCTTCCTCCCCAGGTACACAGTTCTGCACAGTGGACATCACCAGGAACTTGAGAAACTGCCCATTCACAATGACCCAGAGTCCCTTGAATCGTGCTTCTGATTGAGGATGTGGCTCACCACCTTAGCTATCCATTCCCATTCATGTTTGCATGAACAGGACATCCTGGCACCACCATCAGTGAGGCATGAGGCACTTGGGCCAGAGGGCTTATCAAAGGTACATGGAGGACAGAGTTGGGCTCAACCCGAGGTCAGAGCATCGAGGATCTCACAGTCATGAAGGGACTTCAGGCATCTTCAGATCCAGCCTCTCACCCAAAGTGGTTATAGCACTTTTCATTGCATCCCTGAAAGTTAGTCAGTCTCTGCTTGCATACCCCAAAAGACAAGAGCTCACCACCTTCAAATGCACACCCTTCTATTGTCAGGAAGTTTGAATTGTAAGGTAGCTTTGTTCTTTGCTGGAACACAAGTCTGTTCCTTCTGCAGCTTCTGGCTGGGGCCAAACATTTGGCTCCCTTCCTCCTGAGAACCCCCTGGTATTCGAAGACAATGATCTGCCACCCACCCAACTCTCTTATTCTTTTCCCTAAACTAAAAATCTCCAATTTCCTCTCTGTTCTGGTCATCTTCTTCTGGGTGTGCTCTCTTAATGAATTAGGATGATGTCAATGCCAAGAAGCAATGAAGTACTAAAAAAGGAAACATCAAGATTCTTGGTTTATAGCTATGAGCACTTTTCTTTTTTCTTTTCTTTTTTCCCTCTTGAGGATAGACTTTGGAGACTCTGCCTAGATTTTAGTTTTGCCAAAAGGCATCTTTACAGCCTTGTGTGTGTGTGTGTGTGTGTGTGTGTGTGTGTGTGTGAAGCTGCAATTTGTTCAGTAGCCTACTGGCAAGAGAATCATTTGGTCTTTTTTTTTCCAGCACTGGGGATCGAACTCAGGACCTTGTGCTTGTGAGGCAGGTGCAGTGCCACTGAGCTCAATTCCCGGCCCAAGGATCATTTGGAGGAATACTGATGCATTTCCCTCCCATGACCATGGGGAAAGGACCCTTTCCTGAGAATGTTCATTGAGAATGCTCTTATAATGGGAAGTTGGGGATGGAAACTGAATTGCTGTTATGGGATGCCTGTCGGGGGGCCATTCAGCGCTTATACTGAGCAGCACTGTGCCAGGCAGGACTGTTCTCTGCTTTGGGCAAAGACATAACCACAGACTTTGTTTTGGGGGAAATGTCATTGGCCCCTTGCTGTGCAGCTCCTCTTCATACATCTCATTCCCTCTGATCTCCTAAGAAGATAAGTCCCAATATCAAAGCTATTATCACCCAAGTTTATTTATTTTGTGCAAATTATCCCCCCCCCCAGCTCCAAGTTGAGCCTCTGGGAGCACTTTTTTCTGACAAAAACTCAACTGAAAAGATGACTTTCTGGTCCTTGGAGTGAAATAAAGGGAGCTGGAAGATAAGTGGGGCTCTGATGCTTGGGCAGCACTCACCACGAGATAAAGACCTGCCGGAAGTTCAGGCCTCAGCTCTCCTTCCCCTTTTACTTAGTCTGTTGATCCTGCTTTTTCCTCAGCGATCTCAGAGGCCACAGTTGCCTCCTTAATCCCCATTCCATCCATGAGGTCAGGGCCATCCTTCTTCTTTTCATCCTCAGGTGTGGTGTGAAGGGACAATCGGGTCCCAAGGAGAATGAGAGTGAGCCAGTGTCTGGCGAGTGCCTGAAGTCCCATGTCCTAGGACATCCACTGTCCTGGGCACACTAAGGGTGGCTTGTCACCACACAGACAGAACCCTCCCTGTTCTGAGGACCCCTGCTCAGATTTCACTCCCTTTCTTCTCTTTTTCATGCAGAAGGCAGAGAATAAGGACTTTGGAGGCCCAGTGTTCTCCATGTGCTCTCTGAATGTAGTCTCTGCTCTCCTCCAAGCATACAGCACTCCTTAGGGCAGGGCTAAGGCAGAGATAAAAACCAGGGTACAGTCAGGAGGAATGTGTTTAGGGTTCTGACGCAGCTGGAAGACTCTGTCTAGTGCCCCATGTTGAGAGGCTCTACTTTTTAATTCAGGTATGTGCCACTCATGCATATTATATATACAGTAGGGTTTCATCCTATGAAATGCTTCTCTTCTCAGGAGCTTAGCAAGCATACCTGTTTATATAATATTTTACTTCTCAGTGGCAAATCTCCCATACCGAATGGCAACTCAGTAGAGATCCAAAGACTAAAGCATGGGTGGCAAAATGAAACCTCACCCTCTCCCAGGACTCTTCCTGACTCAGTGGACGTGCTTCTGGGAACTGGGTCATGATCAGTGCTTTTAGAGGTTACAGACGCATTGGACTAGAAAAGGACAGCAATTCCAGATATAGTAACATTCTTCATTGTCAAGAGAGCGGTCACCTTTGTGGAAGAGAGGTTCATAAGCATGCTTTGCTGTCTCTTTGTACTAGGACTGGAATGACACTGTGATAAACCAAACACCCTCATTGGAGATTCACGGGACAGGACCAGATTTGTCCTGTCTGTGCAGCTGCTAGCCTGGTAGTAGTTAAAACTGTGTCTTTCCAAAATCCAACCTGTGTGTGGAAGACTCAGAAGGAAGAGACTTCTAGCTTTCTAAGGTGGGAGGAAACCGATACCTTGTCCTCTTACTAAGAAGATCCTCCTCTTCAACACCAAGCTGGAAGTTTCAAGAAGAGTTGGCCCAGGGCCAAGCGGGGTGTGGGCCCAGCAGCATCTGCAGATCAGCTCGGCAATTGTTGGAGTGATGGATGCTGCAGCCAGACTGTGTCCATACCTGGTCAAGAGGTGAATCACTGTGCTTCTTCTCCATCTGCTCCGGCCCAAGGGACTGTCCAGCCCCAAGACTCCCATTCCAACCCTCACCATTAGCAGCTAGGAAGCAAGAGAAATAAACCCACTCCTTCTTTGGACACCCAAGGATGTGTTTGTAAAAAACCTTTCTTTCTAGGATTTTACCAACTCACCAACATCTTCACTTCATGCTCTTAACTTGCTCTGTCCTGAAGCAAATTGCTGTCTAGCTGGGGAATGTGGGTGGGCATGGGGGGGGGCAGGAGTGAGTTAACTAATTTGCTTTTAATATTGTCAAGTGAAAACAAAATAATAATGTCTTCTTGGTGCTGTGTTGTCTACCCATTTATCTCTTTGGTACTATACTTCTCTTTGGTGAGAGATCAGAGTTATTTTTCTCTTTTTCTCTATTACTCTGCTTTGATGTGGTATAAATCTTTCTTGTAACACTCCACCTAGGAGGAAAACAAAGACTAATGGATTTACCTCTCTCCACCAAAATTCACACTCTGACTTCTACCACTGAGGCTTTTTGGTTTGAATTGAAGCAATATAGGGATGGATTTGAAGGCCTGGATATGAGACAGCATGTTGTGTTGGGCCTTAACCAGCAAATTTGCTTCATTTGTCTCGTTTACAAAAAAGGGACCACCACTGAGATACTGGAGTCATTCATTGTGAGTGTTCCAGCATGGGTCACCATTACTTTTTCCAAATTTGTGTTCTGCCTATAGTGTTAGTTACTTAAAATCTTTACTTAAGTCAATATAAGTTTTCATTTAAGATAAATTTTAGAAGGAAACATCATATTGTTGTCCAAAATAGAAAATTAATTTTATTTACCATAAATGGAAAGCAGCCACAGAGATAAACAAGAACAAAACAAGGTTATTAAGTTCTAACTCAGCACTTGGTTTCTGTGGAATGTCAGGAACTATTAGTGGCACCGGTCACCCCTGTAGGACTCTGTAGCTAATTGGAAGAGTTTAAAGGAAATTTATGGGAGAAATAAACTTCAGAAGTTCATAGGATTTAACTACAAGAATCATTTTACACTTCTAGAAACAGAGAGAGAAGGAGAGACTGCTTAAATTTTGAACAACTGCTATAGTCGACCTGATTATACATCTCCTTCCTTTCACTTGTTCTTTCAGCTCTTCTCAGAATGTATCTTACTTAATAAAGATACAGCAACAATAAAGGAAGCTAACATTTAATGAGCTTCTTTCTGCTAGGTACTGTCGTTAAGTGATGTATGTGGGTGGATTATCTCATGTAATTCCACAAGCAGTCTCATAAAATTCTCTGATTATAAAACAGGTACCAAAATGACCCCCACTTTACAGATGAGCAAACTGCTCAGCTGAGATATCTGGTGACTGGGCCAAGGTGAAAGACCTGTGAAGTGTGGGTTTGGAATGCAAATGATTCGGAAGACCCAGTCTTCAATATGCCCAGTGGTGTTTAGTATTGAGATTCTTTTACTTAACATTCACACGTGGACCCTCTGCAAGGAGAGAACACATGTTATCTTTCCTCATGTTGCCCAGGTATTGCCCAGGTGTTTTCCCTTCTGCGTCTGTGTGGGACCTGGAGAGAGACTCCATGCATGCCCCTTCCAGTCTGAACTCCACCCCTGTCTTGCTCTCTTGTCTTCTTTTCTGAGCCCCAATCTCCATATTTAAATAATGAAGGCATTCAGGTTGAGATAGATCAGCAGGAAAGAGGAAAGACCCTTGGTACTGATCTTGCTCAGTCTTTCTAGTATTCAGCAACCTTGGTTAGTGAATAACCAACAACAGACTGTGAGAACCAGATGTGTGAGCCAAAGAAAGCACAGGCCCAGTGTGTTCCATCATGGAAGGCTGCTCATGCCAGGAGCACCCTCGCAAGAAGACTCTGTGAATTCTCAGTGTTTCTCGGTGGGAACACTATTTGGATGTGATTTCACCAGTCCCAGTAAGTACTGACTCAACCCTGTAGAAACTTTAGTTTCTCTACCCTTTCACAAGATCTCTGAGCCTCTTGTGGGGAGGGATTGTTGATTTCATTTTATAGAAGAAAAAGGCTGCCAGGGAAAGTCATTTGTCCAAGCACATACAGCTTCCTTGAATGGGGCAGAAGGCACCATGAAAAATACTTCAGTCCTTCCATTCAAAAAAAGCGCCTTCTTCTTCCTCTTCTTTAAACTTATTTTTAAATATACAAATTATACATTTTAGGATATATAAATTATAGTTTACACAAATGCAAAACATTCCCAGTATAACTTCCAGTTACATACATACAGCAAAATACCCCTTGAGGCTAACTCAGTCCTTCTCTCTTTCCCAGAAATAATTGCTCTTGTCACTTGATTTATGATTCAAGAATTTTTTTCTAGGCATTATGTAAAATGCCTACACATAAAGACATATGGTCTCGTTTTATTCTTATATATCAATGATGCTGTGTATAATCTGTAGCTTGCCTTTTCAAATTACCCTAAACATCATTCCCCACCAACACAAATCATTGTATGCATGTCATATTATAAACATTGTATAATTTGCAATTTTTACATTTTATTATTATGTTTTAATATTTTAGCTGCATCTTGTGTCTGTGGGGCAGCCCAGGCCTGACAGAAAACCATGAGCGTCCATTTTTGGGGGGAATGCACTAACCATGTGAAATGGTCAGCTCTCTGGAGTGGTTGCAAGTTTCAGGGGCAGCAGCTCTGACCTGGCAGCTCCCCTGTTGAGGAAGGTTCACCCTCACTGGGCCTCACTCACCCTCTACCCACCCTGAGAGACAGACATTCCCCAAGTTGCGTAAGCTTTGAAATCAGACTGATGACATCCTGCTTCCACTCATTTTTAGATGGATGCTTTTCAGAGTTTAGTCTACTAAACCCTAGCTTACTCCACAGTAAAGTGGGGGACACACTGGTCATACAGGCCTGAACATTCCTCTGAGGAGCTACAGAAAACACTTTCAAAAAAGCCAGCATTCATACCGTTATTATTGCCTTTTTATGGCCTCACAATTCTGCTTCCTACCATCCAGGCTGGGATTTGATCTGAGGGACAAATTATGGGAAGATTAATTCAAAAAAATCCCCACCTTTTATAACAAGGAGAATTATGGAAGAAATACTATGAGGTATGATAAAAATGTAAGGTGAATATTTAAATTTAAAACTTACAGTAAACACACATTACCATTAATTCTCGAAATATTCCCCTTTGCTTTGGAAACACTTATCTCATCATTCTTGCCAATATCTGAAGCAGTTCTGGACATTCTTTCATTACTGTCTTACGAGGTGTGATGAAAAATATGGTGAATGCTGCTGTCCAGTGTCATCCAGCAGAAAGGTGGGCTCATGAAAACATCAATGTGTCCTCATCCACCTTACTCACCACCTCAGGATCTGTGTGACTTCTGGCTCCTCCCCAAAGTCAGAATGACTATGAAAGGTAAACTATTTGATGCAGGATATGGAAGCAGCCACAGCAGTGCAACTAAAGACATTCATGAGAGAGGACTTCCAGAATTGCTTCAGAATGTGGCAAGAATGATGGGATAAGTGGGTTCAAAGTGGAATATTTTGAGGGGGCTAAGTGGCAGGGTATCTTTTACTATACATTTTAAAAAATATAAACAGTGTATTTTCCATTAACACCTTGAACCTCCATTTGCACTGCATTGTCCAGTTTACTATAATTTTGTCACTGTCATATTAGTTGTCACCATCTTCAGATGAGGGAATTGAGGCTCCAAGTTAGGGTGATGTCTCTTGATCACCCAGCAATTGTATGAAGATGTCAGAATCTGAACCGAGGTCTTTTGATTCTATATATGAAGCCAGTCCAACTGTGGTGCCAGCTGTTATTCGGGGAAAGCATTAGTCCTACACCTAGCAGCATGATATTCAAGATTCACTCTGTTAGTGATGCTAATGTAGTCATAAATTATCTATGAAATATTTCTAAAGGCCTTTTTAACACATGGTTGACAAACTTGTGGTCTAACTGAATGGACAAATAGGTCGAGAAAGTTCCCTGTGGCAGGTGTAGGCCAACTGGGGCAGATGTGGTATGTTCAGCCTTCAGGATGGTTTCTACTTTATAATGTCTGGGAAAAAAGTCAAGAGAAATATTTTGTGACATGTGAAAATTATGTGGAATTCAAATTTATGTTCATAAATAAAATTTTACTGTAACACTGCCGTGTTCATTAATCTACATTGTCTATGGTTTTCACATGACAGTAGGTGTCCCAGAGAAAAGCTGTGGCCCATTCAGCACACACTACTACCTGGCCCTATAAAGAAAGTTTGCTGAGCCGTACTCTATGGCAATCACTCATTCATTCCATCTACATTTACCAGATGTATGCTTGAAGGGTTTGAACATTGTGCACAAGGAAAACACCTCAAAATGAGGTAAGAAGATACCTTCTGCCCTCTTGGATGCTCATGTCTTTGTTGAGCATGATTTTGAAGGTATTCTGAAATGAGATGTGACATCATCATGAACAAGCTAGTTCATAAGGAATACTAAAATCACAGGATCAGGTAACGCGGGCACCAAAAACAATGCCTACAATAGTGGGCATTCAAGTTTTGTTTTTGAGTTCTTGGCATCTTTACGATGATTGTAGCGCTTCTTGTTGTAGTTACCTGATAGTTTGGCTTAGAAGGTGAGATGGGTAAATCAAGAATTTAAAAGGCAGCGGCCTCTTGTGGCTGACAGAAGCATTGTTTAGATGACTGTGGTTACAATGCAAAAACAAAGGTTAGATTGGGCTTTTGCGAGGTTGGGGGTTCCAGATGAAGTATCTAGGATATCCTGTATTTTCTGCCTTCTACTAGTTATAACCTTAATAGTGGAACCCACTCTTCTAAGTAGAAGTTAGCTGAGTTAAAAGTAATGTAATAAGAAAAACAAACAATGTAATAAGTTATGAACTGACTTATACCTCCTAATGTATAGGAAAAAATTTTGTAAAACTTCAGAAGAGAACTTTGAAGAAAAATACTATGATTCATACTACTTCAGTGGGGCCCAGGGATTTAGCTCAGTGGTGCCACACCTGCCTTGCAAGTACAAGGTCCTGAGTTCTATCCCCAGTACCAGTATCAAGAAAAAAACAAAATAACTTTAGTGTTAGGGAAGCACGCTGGGATCCTTGCATTTCTACCATTAACAACAGAGGCAGTGCAGTGGGAATGACTTTTGTTCTACCCAGCACATAGGCCCAAGTATGGGCAATGTTTCCTTCTGGGTTTCAATTAACTCCCTGTAAATGAAAGGGCTGACCAAACACTGAAGGACCTTATATATATATATATATATATACCTTATACAGACAGTAGCTCCTTACGTCCATTTGGAAAGCTTTTATAAAATTTTCCTGAAGACCTTCAGTTTAATTTGCCAAGGTCCCTCAGCTTCCAAGTGGCAAGGCCATGCCAGATGCAGGCACTGCTCTAAAGCTTCTGCTCTTACCGTGAGGTGGTAATGGAGCATACACCATTATCAAGACTATCCGAGACCGCATATCTTGGGAAATTCTGCTGATCTCAGTATTCTGTCACGGAGTTCTAGGAGTCCAACATCTCACAGCCACAAAACTTTAAAGAGATTAGAAATTGGACAACACTAGAATCTTAGAGACACAGCTATACAGTGTATTGCTTTTCTGTGTAGTATTTACTACTGTTCTTTAAAAAGGATTTCGACCCAAGGCAAGAAAAAAGTTTTTAATAAACTTTTATTTTTATATTCAAGGTATAGTGTACACACAAATGAATGTGGAAATAAATAACTACAAATGCTTTGGAAACTTTTCCATTTCCCCCTCAAATTCATGAGTCTTTTATTTAAAGAAATATGGCAACTATAATACCAAAGGGAAAAAAAAGGAACTACATTCTTTGCACAGAAACATATAGCCTTTACTGACTATACAGTTTAATTGGTACTTTTTTTAACAAAAAAAGGTACACAAAACACAAACAATCTTCATCAGATTTACTCAAACAGCTTTGCTCGAGAAGAAAAAGGCACAGGTTTAAGGGGGTGATGGTGTTTATTAAGAATATAGTAAATGGGGACTCAGTCCAAAAATGATACTGTATGAACTAAGGAAAAATGGAACAAAATGAACTCTTTCAAATTATATGCCTTCATTATTGAGATTTTTAAATTAAATTGTATAAACATATGATATAAAGTTTGTACTTTAGGAAGTGTCTCTGCATATTTTATGTACAAATCCTTGTATACAATTTCAATGTTCCTTATATATTTCCTATATTCCAAACTGAGCCAGGGCCTCCCAATCCCATGCCCCAAGTCCCTGTGGAGTATTCCAGCAGCTGAATGAGGCCGGCTGCTTTCTGCTGGAATACCTAGAGAGGGGCAGGGACCAATCAAATGTAGTCATCTTCAACTGGCTCTCCATTGACATCACAATAGTGGATGAAAATCGCCACTACTCGCTGAAACACACCCTTCTTCATCTGACGCATCTCTGAGATTTCCTCTCCTATTGTTTCCATACAGATATCTGCAGACAGCTGTCCTTTTCTTCGAGGAGCATAGATGGTACCTTGGAAATGAGAAGAAGGGGAGACAAGTGTGATAATCAGAATCAATTGGAAAGCCAATCAGATAAGCTGGTTGACAAAATATTCCTGTACCTTTTCACATAATATAGCTGGTGCATCAATAGCTCATGGAATGGGTCCCCATCACTTTATAGTTTTATATCATGTCTGATGTCTGAGACAGCAGACATGATTAAAATCCCAGGTAAAAATGATATGCCAGAGGGTAAGTCACATACATGTAGTTCATAAAATTCATTTCCTTATAAAAGTTCTATACAACAGGAGAATAATTCGTACAATTGGAACAATTCTGAAACAATATTGCTGATAAATTCTAAATTCATTAAAAAATACAGAATTATAAATATTTAGGTGACTGGCTTGGGGTGTAGCTCAGAGGTAGAATATATAGACCTGAGTTCAACCCCCAACACCAATTAAAAAGAGAAAAAAAGGTAATAAAAAAGGAAAAAAAAAAAAAACGTGTTTCAAGGAATCCTTCCCAGCATATATCCCCAGTACAAATTCAGAGCTTTTTGAGGGGGGCGGGCGGGGGGGGGGGAGTGGAAACCATTTAAAAGTTGCACTGCTCTGAATTCTCAAAGTATTAATAATTAACTTAGCAGGATACACTCAAGCTACAGAAAAGAAGTCAAGACAGTTCATAATTACTTTCTTCATCATCTTCAAAATCATATCGGGCGAAGCTGTTGGGCTCTGCTGCCCGTAGTGACCTCAGCCAAGGGAAGTCAGAAATCATGGAATATGGAGCTCCATCAACAACACCTAAAACAAGAAGACAGATGTTAGTGCTACACGTGTGGAGGTGCTGAAAGCACCAACTCTGTAGTACTTTCTAAACAGGACATAAAATGTAAAGCAGAAACTGACCCAGGTGGTGCTTGCAAGTCATTTCCAAATCTCAAACCATAGCAATCTGCAATTTTCATCTACTACTTCCGATTACAGTGGTACCTTGGTTCCTGAACTTAATTCTTTCTACAATTCTGGTCACAAGCCAAGTTGGACGAGAACTGAATCAAATTCAATGGTTAGGTTTAATGTTGACCTTATGGAGAAATATGACTGGTTCTCGTCCAATTCAGTTTGTGACCAGAATCGTGGAAAGAATTAAGTTCATGAATGGAGGTACCAATGTATTCTATGGCTGAAAAAAACTCATATGGGCAGAGCAATGTTAACCTGGTCCCTGTTTCTTTTTTGTAAAAATTAAGTTTGGTACATTTTAGGTATACAATATGATGACATTCATCATTAGGAATATGTACCTTTACATGATATATCTTGGTTCTTATTTTTCCCTTTTCTCCTGTCCTCCCTTCAACCCCTCCACCCTTCCCTCTGTACAAAGCTTTATTTCTGTTTTTTCCTTTCCCTTCTTTCCTTTCCTCTACCCCTTCCACTTCCCCTTTGGACCTTTTCTTCCTGTTCCATATTATCTATTATACATTTTGATCCTCAATTACACTTTCACACCAGGGAAACTATTTGGTATTTACTCATGTGTGTCCTAATGATTTCACTTAAGAGTATCGCCTCAATGTATATCCACTTAGCTATAAATGTCTCTAGTTTCTCATTCTTTATGTCTGAATAGTACTCCATTTTATTAAAAAACCATATCTTCTCTATCCAGTCACCAGTTTATGGGCAACTGGGCTGTTTCCCAGTTTCAGCTATTACAAACTGTGTAGCTATAAACATGGGTGCACATATATCACTGTGGTATGATTCCTTTAATTCTTTTGGGAAGATCCCCAGCAGGGGAATAGCTGGGTCAAATGGGACCTCTAATTCTAGTTCTTTGAGGCATCTCCATACTGACTTCCACAGTGGTTGCACCAGTCTATACTCCCACCAGCAGTGGAGCAGGGTTCTTCTTTCCGCACAGCCCCGCCAGCATTTGTTAATGGTTGATTCCTTGAGAGCAGCCATTCTTTCTGGAGTGAGGTGGAATCTCAGCATTGTTTTCATTTGCATCTCTGGGATACCTGGTCCCTGTTTCTTACAGGTATTCACATCAACCATTTATTTTGATGAATTCTAAGACTCTCTAAGACATGTCTCTTCATCCAGCTCGTAGCTATTTAGCTTTCAAACAATGGCAAATACGCACCTTCTAAAGTATAGATATCTCTCCCCCAGGGATACTTGGGGTACTTCTTTAAGTCTTCTTCACTTCGAGTGGCTTCAGGGAAGAATTCATACTTAATGAGCTCTCTAAACACAAGAAGGAAAATGTAATTGCAAAACTGAAAATGTTAGGGAATGGGGTACAATGGAACTGTCAAGACTGTTGTTTCAGGCCCAGATTCTATAAAACATTTCAGAAAAAATACTGAATCTAACACCCCCACTTACTCAAAATAGAGATTTGTCTAGTCAGGTCAAAGTTTCTTTACTATCTTCAAAATCGTATCAAAGAAAGCAAGCCATCCTCTCAGCAAATGCCTTGTGTATAGAGGGTGCTTCATACAATGATTATATAACAAATACATAGTTCAGTTTTT